TGAGCTGGTACTTGTTTACCATTGTACCACTGCTGACTGTTGAAAAGGGCAGGAAGCATTCTAGCTAACCCTCGTGTCACATGACCAATACTCCATTTTGGATTATGACATGGATACCACCCAAATACAATAAACAATGATAATACAAACACAAACTTTAGGAATTTGCACCTAACAAAAGGCACGTCCAGCAGGGCAGCTGGCGGAGAGGCGTGGCAAGCGGCCAGCAGAAAAGCTGATGGAGAGGGTCAGTGAAGAGCCCCGTAGAGGCGTGGCAATCGGCCATTGGGGCGATGAGCGAGTGCCTGAGCAGTGCAGAGTGTAAGGTGCCTCCTTACTCCCACACCCCTGCCTTCCACACAGGGTGGGAGGTGATCTCTGCGGGTGAACCTCTGAACTCTGTGACTGCACTGGCCAAGGACAGCAACTGTGAGTGGGGGTACAGAGAAGGGACAGGCACACTAAAGGGACTTTTGGGTTGCTGGATTTAAGACCCTGAGGGGAAAGGACACTTATTTGAGGATGGGTCTTTTGCTCATGGTTTGTGTTTATGAACCCTGGTTGTGGTGTTTTCCCAAATTAATGCTGAGTTAATTCCCTCCTTTTATTAATAGTTTTTGCTAAACTCAGACTCTGTGCTTGCAACTGGGGAAGTATTGCCTCTTAGAGGTGCCCAGGGGGTACTTGTAATTGTCCCAGGTCACTGGGTGGGGGCTTGAGATGGTTCTGTGTTGTATTGTTGAAAAGGAACCCCTAGATACTGAACCCGGCCCTTGTTGCTGCTGGCTTCACCTGGCAGAAGGTTTACATGAGTAAGGGCTGCAATGCAACTTGCAGACTCAGGCTCCGGGACAGAGGGGATTGCCCTCCTACGATCAGAGGGGTGCATTTCCCTTTGACTATCTGCTCTCAAGTTTTAGGGCTGGGAGCTCTCCCAGGCTTCCTCCCACTCTTCATTTAAACACGTTTGTTTGCCATTTTTGTCTCCTGGAGTAGGAGCCCTTCTGCTATAAACATTTTCATCCAACACCTTGTGCTTCTACAGCTCGAGTTGTGTCTTTCTGCCCATTCCTTTTGGCTCTTGTGTGGCAAGAGCTTCTACCAAGCACATGAAATGAAACACGGGACTGGGTGCTAGTCTTTGCTTCCTTAATCACTTCCTTCGCATCTGATCATCTTCAGTGGATGTTGCGAGGGTCCTCTTCCCCCTTTCCCCCCCCCCCGGTGTTTAAAGGTGGTATTCACAAAGGTGGGGGATTTCACTATTTACAGTGCTCAGAGGTGGTTGGTGGTTCTCTTAAAATTATACTGCTGTATGTAGGATATGTTTCCGAGTTATGTGAAGAAAGCTTAGACCAGATAGATAGGTGCCTTTGCTAGCATTTCTATAGATTTAAAGAAATAAACATTCACCCTACTGCAGAACTGATGGAAGAACTTGGCTTCTGGAATGACCTATGTCCTGCTGCTGATGCAATCTTTCGCCTTATTTCCATGTTTCTCTCTAGATATTCCCCATGCATTGGTTACCCCCAAAATGGAAAACTGAAACCCATTCAGATTTGCTAATTATTGTAATTCAGATTTTGAACCCTAAGAGGTGGAAGGATAAAGCACAACCGTCCTTCGTACTAAAGGCCTCAATTGCCAGAAAAGAATCCCGAAATCTTGTTTATCTACAATCTTTAAACCATTTTAAAACCATTTATAGTCTTCTTTCCAACTATAATAATTAAGACAGAAATCAAAACGGTGACTACAAAATCCTGTCTGGTTAAAACCTTCTCTTCAGTCAGCAGACAGAAAGAATCCAGAGACTAAAATTGTCGAGAAATAATTTCCCACTTGCCAGTAAGTTGATTTAATGGCTCTTTAATTTCTATGTGAAAATCTTTCTTATCATTGAGTAGATTGGGTGCTAAAATGACACCACAGCCAGCAATTCTCATTTTAGCAGAAGACATTGATCCATTGCATTATAAAACAAATCAACTTGTATTTGTGTTTTGATTACAGTTATTTACAGGATTGGTTAAAGGGGCACAGAGCCAAGTAGTTTAGTTCAAAACTTTCTATACTTTGGAAGTTGCACATTATGGCCTTGGTCCTACAAGCTTCTGATCATCACCAGGGGAGTTGAACATCATACAGGGGAGACCTATTAGCAGATGTCCTTTGATTATTGCCCTTGTTTCTGGTATGAATAGCAAGCTCTGAGGAACTAAAAAATATTCCATTGTCTTCTACTGTAGGTGTCTTGCATAGCTATAGCTGCATATGGGTGGACTGCCAGCCCCGTCTCTCTTCCCTGCTATGGGCACCTCCTAGCAGAGGTCAGTGGGAGTGCTAGGTACGTTTCTCAGGCATGCCCCCCTCAGCCACGCTCAGCCCCACTCCCACCCTGGCAGAAATCTGGGGCTTGCACATGACCCCACGTGACCCTCCCCCCACATAGCACCTCAACTCCCTGCTCTGTGAGATACAGGTGAAGGGAAATCAAGTCTCCTCCATGAACAATCATGGGCTAGCAGCCTGTCCCTTCCTCGCCCACAGCCACAGTTACCTGCTTGGCAGTAGGTGTCCGCAGCCCTCTCTGGCCTGGGCCGTGCCCGCAGTGGGGAGGCAATGGGAGAAGTAAGTGGGAAGGAGCTGTGAGGGGAGTGGAGGCAAGTTGGTGCTGGCTTGGAGCAGGTGTGGAAGGCACGGGGGGGAGGGGGGGGCACGAAAGGTGACAGAGGCAACACATGGGGCGATCATGTGCCCCCCCACACCTTTAAATTGCCCCCACACCATCAAGAGTTATGGGTCATTTCTGGCTCAGAGTGCATCAGATTCAACATGCTCATCTCTCAGGTCCCAATCCTGCACTGTGATCTCATTGTGTCCACGTGGAGCCCATTGACATCAGCTGGGCTTTGCACAGGCGCTGCAGTCTGCCTACATGGGTCACAGTGCAGGACTGAGGCTTCATTTGGTGCAGCTCCCCCGCACCTCGGGAAAAACTAATAAAGTTGTGCGGGTGCACGAGCACCCAGTGGAGACAACACGCCAACACTCAGGCAGGAATCTGAGCCCTGATCTCACGCAGCGTTAACCTCTGTGTTGGACATAAAGAAAGCACTGTCATGGCTTTAGTAAATACGTAACTGTCAGGATGGGAACATTTGAGACCTAACCCACCGGCCAATGTGCCCTTTCCAGCCATATGAAAGTTCAAAACCTCATGGGAAAAAAATATAATATTCTTATCACTGTTACTGCAAAATTAATTCAAAAGGATTTCTTACAGAAATAAACCACAAGTAATTAGTGTTGCCATGAAGTAAAAAAATGTCAAGAAAGAAAATGCTATCCACAGACAGAGACGATGCTAGAGCTAATTATGGAACACAAGCTCCTGTGGCAACCTGAGTGGAAAAAGAATAACTTTGGTTCACATTTTTAAAATGTCGCTAATGGAAATTCCATTTGAAAATTTTTATCTGATTTCTACTGATTCTGCTGGCAAAAAAAGTTTTGGCACAGAACAATACTCGTATGATTGGCACAGAGCAATAGTTTCATCATTGGACACTAGAAATCAACATAGACCAACTTTGGCATTAATTAACAGAGAATGAATCAGCATGGCAATGACAAGAAAATCGACCTCTTTGATTAACAGATTCCTGAGAAGTA